GAGCCAAGACACTGTCTTATATTTATTTTTTCTCAAGAAGACACACTAGGGCTTATTTTCAGGGGATGTCTTATTTTTATTAAGTATAATACAACAATCTATTCAAATACAGTTAAGTCATCTGCTTCTGGAACCTGACAGGGGGAGCCGACCTTGTTAGTGGGGCTGGCGCTAGAGATGTGTGAACTCCTTTCCCTTAGCTATTCATATGTGTGCGATAGGATGCCTGTGACTGCAGTTACCACACGTGTGCCTGCGCAAGTGTGAACGGCTCTAAGAAACGAGCTGTGGCAGATAAAAGGTATTCCAGTCTTCCTTACTGCTCTGCACTGAAATGCATGGCTCGGTTGTGGAGATATGCTGCATAGCCACACCCATTACTAGGTCTTATTATCAGGGTAGGGCTTATATTTAATAAATGCATAGAAATCCTGCTAGGGCTTATTTTTTGGGTAGGTCTTATTTTCAGGGAAACAATGAGAACACAGCCTGGCCAGCACCTTGACTGTAGCCTTGTGAAGACCTAAGTACAAGATCCAGGTAAGCCACACCCAGACTCTTAACCCACAGAAACAGGGATATGATAAATTCCTTCAAAGAAACACAGTGGTTCTTAGCCTAGCAAGAAAGAACTTGTCTATCAGAAAAGAACCTAGATCATTCACACAAGCATACTCAAAGAATAGTCAGGACCAAATGGCAAGACTTTTCAAGCACAGTATAAAAGACATGGTGGCTAGACCCAAACATCTAACTTGTCTTGTTCCTGGCATTCAGCAGAGTTTGGCATATAAACACTTATCATAATGCCAATGCTACGCTGCTCAACAAATGTGAGTTCTTAATCCTGATAATTGCTGTTTAAATTGAAAATTAAAATGCCTACTCTTATCAAACCCAAAATGCAACAAATCAGCACCAGGTTACTAGGAGAAAAAAAAGAAAAATACTAAGGCATCACTGGATTTGTTTGGTTGATAAAACAAATGTTTATTTAGGATATGCAATAGAACTGCCCACTGTTTTCACCTGATGTCACTGAATTTTTTTAATCAAACTATTAACTCCCTTTTTAAAAAGTCCACACATTATAAGCAACCTTTTGATTATGATGTACTTTTACAAGTAGTATACCTATAGAATTAATGAAAAAAATCAATGAAAAAATAAAAGAAACACAAAGAGAAATAAAACAAAAGCAGCAACATTTTAAGTGCCAAATCAGGATAGGCACAGAGTGCTGTAATCGTAGAACTCTGGGAGGCCAAGGCAGGAGGATCCCTTGAGCTCAAGAGTTTAAGACTAGCCTGAGCAAGAACCCCATCTCTACTAAAAATAGATAAATAGCCAGTCTCCATGAGAGGCTGAAGCAGGAGGATCACTATACTCCAGGAGTTTGAGGTTGCTGTGAGCTAGGCTCATGCCATCGCACTCTAGCCTGGGCAACAGAGAAAAACTCTGTCTCAGAAAAAAAGAAAAAGTGGCAAACCCAGGTGAAAGGTATATATGGACCACACTCAACTTTTCTAACACAGGCTTGAATTTTTTCAGTCTCAAAAGCTGGGGTGACAGAAATGAGATAATTTCCTCAATAGGGCAACCAAGTAATAGAGATCAAAATGCCCTTAAAACTAACTAGAAGAAGCCTTAATAGATACCATTTTCACTATTTTGGTGAACAGAGAAAGAAAGCAAAGTAAATATACAAATCTACATATTATAAATCACCTAACACTCTATAATTGCATAGTATTTCTCTCCGAGAATCCAAGAACTACAAAAAATCCCTACAAAAACATAAATTTTCTGATTCATCCTTAAAACCTTTTGGTTCTATAGACAATTGCCATTAACTTTTAAATCCTCACTGCTCATTTGTTCACTGAGTTACAAAGATCTCCAAATGTTAATACATTTCATTATATGAACAATTTTTAAAAATCACATATGCTTAACCACTTTCATTATACTCAATCAAAATGTTTTGTTTTGTATGTTAAATGTTCTTATGTGTTAAAATGACCATCATCAGAAAGTTCTTTAAGAATAACAAAGCTATCAAGATCAGTGGCAGATACACATATTCCAGAATTCTCATTTCCACTTAAGAGTTCAAATTTTATCAGTGGCAACAAATACTACAGGTTGTTTTCCTTGCAGTGAGAGATTCACTTCACTCATTTTCAAAAAAACATCTGGCAAGTACCTAAATACGAACAACCACAGTTTATCAGTCATTCATTCTTTCAAGTAAAATAATAATGTTCCATGAAAAAAGTGGCTAGTTCAGCTGGCAACAAAATAGTAACACACGCTTTCCCTCAGGACAACCACACTACAGAATGCAACAGAAGTGCTATATGTGTACTTACCATTTCATCACACAGGATATTAAAAAGACATATGCTTTTGAGACAAGATTATTAATAATTTGTACTGCTTCAACCAGAACAGGTTTAAGTGAACGAGTACTCTTTTTACTGGTTCTAGTAAAATAGTTGTAGAATGCAATGACTACAATTTGGTGCAACTGCTTTAAACTACACTTAGGTGTTCAATTTTTAACCCGATGTTTTTGCAGATGAATGCAAATATTAACACAGTGGGAAGGGCAACCAACTTCTCAGTATTATCATGGAAATAGATTTGACCTGATAGATCCACTGAAAGGGTTTTAGGAACCCTGAGTGGCCACAGATCACTTTGAGATCCAAAGTACAATATCAACCAAAACAATCCTTAGTCTCCCCTATCATTATAGACCATTTACACATTTAATCAATAATTACAGAGGGCTTATTATGTAGTATAGGTAGGACAAAGAGTCTGAGTATTTGAATGTCTTTGTGCCATTTACTCTGTATCCCAAGCTCCTAGGATAGTACCTGGCTGGTACACAGAAGGATCTCAATATTTGTCAAATGAATGAATAAATAAATGGACAGCTACGACATATTTTAAATGAGATTCCAAACTCTTTCACAGTATACTTCTCTCACACACAAAAATAATCTAATTATTAGAAATATTTTATTATTTTCCAATATTAACAGAAAAGACTTGTTAGGCAATATGAAAGTTCTACCTTTAGGATGTTTGCAATAGTTTTTATCTTCACACCATTCTAAACTTAAATTGTTATATATACAGGAATTCCTTGCTTTGTGTGTACCATGGTAACCGAAACTCATGAATATCTGAACCATGCGCTCAAGCTGTACACTTCTGCAGCAACTAAGATCTATAATAACAGTACAAGCAAAGCACGTTAGTGCAAATCTACCTGGAAATAAACTCTAATAACCTACACATTCAATTTCAGTAAAATAGGAAGGAAAAGCACTCTGTGAAGAATGAACAAGCTGCAATAACTTGGAGAGTAACTCTGAATGGGTACACCTAATGGGAATGAAAATCAGACACCTAAATGACTTTTTCAAACTCTACATGCCTCTCTCCCACTAGTAACTACCATTTGAGACTCACTGCTGGTGATCAACTAATAGAAGTATTTCAATCCCTCAATGGTATTTGTGAATTGGAAGTGAGGGACAGAATAAAAGCAAGGTAGCTAGAAAAACGAAGGACCAGCATTTTAAAACACACTGAGACAAAATTAGGTCACACTAAATGTGCCTGGTCTTTCTTACAGAGGTAGATCAAATCTTTGGACTTCCATCTCCTATCCCTTCTCTTAATTCAATCAAAATAGCCTTAGAGCTGCCCATCAGTACTAGGTGGTCTCCTCTACTTGCATGCCCACATCTATACCCAGGATTTTTATTCTGACCTATAAAAATTAACATCAATTTTCAAAACTATTTTAAAGATAATGCATTCAGTTCTAAAAGAAAAGATGTTTACACATTAGAAGTTTAAATGTTTCTGCCAAGAATTAGAAATAAAATGAAAATTATTTTATAGACAAACACTAATGGAAGCTTAGAAACTAAAAAAGTGTCATTGAAAAAAATTACTTTAACAAAAAATTCTACACTAAGTCTATTTGTTAAGTATCACAACTGGTACAAATGGGAAATGCTATTTAAACTATACCTTAAAATGTACTGTGATGTTCCAAGGAAGAGGTGAACTTGATGCAAGAAGATCAAACAGCAAACCAATTGGATAATGCCTAAAAATGAAAAGAGTATATTTTAAGAGAGAATAAATATGTAAAGTTGTAACTGCAACTCCAAAATAAATTTCCAGCATATGTTTTAACACCAAATGTCAGGGCTTTAATCAGAAATCACAGGAAGTAACATTTTATAGAGTTACATCTCTGGGCCTAAAAGGACGTACAGGTGTCATAAGGTATCAGGTGGTTTTCTTTTTTTCTATTTTTTGAGACAGAGTCTCACTTTGTCGCCCACAGGTAGAGTGCCATGATGTCATAGCTCACAACAACCTCAAACTCTTGGACTCAAGTGATGCTCTTGCCTCAGCCTCCCAAGTGGGTGGGACTACAGGCACCCACCACAATACCCGGCTATTTTTAGAGACAGGGTCTCACTCTAGCTCAGGCTGGTCTTGAACTCATGAGCTCAGACAATCCACCCACCTCGGCCTCCCAGAGTGCTGGGATTATAGGCGTGAGCCACCACACCTGGCCTCAGGTGGTTTTCTTCCAACCATTTATTTCATTCTTCAAAATATACAATAACATTGTGCGAAGACATTCTCCATCAGCCATATGCACTGTCATATCACAGTACTACAGTATCTAACTATCATCCTATTTATAATGGGTAGTCATTTTTTTACAGTATATCTAAATATGTTTGATTTTTAATACAAGTTAAAATTTTAAAAAATTGTAAGAACAAAGACAAGTACCTAAAAAGCAGGCAAATCCCCCAGTCTGTGGTTAGTACTAACACTACAGCATATCAATTTCTGGTGTTCTCCCTACGCATACACGTCTAAATATAGAATGAGAATAACCTTTACTAATTGTACTGTAACATGCTTTTTAAAAATAATAGTATAACGCCAACATTTTCCCAATCCATTCAATATTCTTCTGAAACCCAATTCTAAAGAATTTTTTAAAAATAAGTTTGACTTCCTAAATAAGAGAACATTTCCTAATATAACCACTACTCATAGTGAAATAAATTACTTAGTAATCAACAAACATGACTAATTCAAACCTTGAGATTTCAATAGACAAACTTTATTTTTTAAGTCATCCTTCCAAAGAATATAAAGTAAGACAGCTTTATTTAGTCAATCAGAATTAAATAATACAGGTTGGGCATACCTTATCCAAAATGCTTGGCACCAGAAGTATTTTAAAATTTTGAGTTTTTCCAGGTTTTTTTTTTTTTTTTGGCTGGGGCCAGGATTGAACCCACCACCTCTAGTATATGGGGCCAGTGCCCTACTCCTTTGAGCCACAGGCACCCGAGTTTTCACAGATTTTGAAATATTTGACTATACACCTACTGCTTGAGTATCTCAAACCCAGAAATCTGAAATGTTCCAATAAGCATTTCCTCTGAGTATTGTGTTGGCATACAAAAAGTCTGGGGACATTTTGAATTGTGGATTTTTAGATTTGAGAGGCCTCTACCTGTACTCCCAGCAAAGGCAAAAAGAGGACTACTTCATGTTATATACAACTCTGTTTTTATCTGTATAATCTCCATCTAGATTTCAGAGGGGCAAAATCTGAAAATATATCTAATTTCTCTTGAATGGGTAAACCTGACCAAGATTCAAATATTGGTTAATAGTATTTATGTTTGCTTACTTCTACATAATATAATTATGGAAAGTCACAGGTTACTAGAGATCATGTATTTTTTTTAGAATGAACTTAAAATGAACGCCCTGTTAGTAAAAATACCCTGTATAATCATCTAGATTTCAGAGGGGCAAAATCTGAAAATATATCTAATTTCATGATCATGTATTTTTTTAGAATGAACTCAGAATGAACACCCTGTTAGTAAAAATAAAAGTGGGGTAGTTTCAGTCTTATATGTATTATATCTCTTATTAATAACCCTTAAATTTCTCTCTAATCAAAAGTCAGCATCCAACATTAGTCCCTCATAACCAGAAAATACCTAGTTTTTAGAACTAGGAAAAACTCTGGCCTCAACCAAAAACTAAAATAAAAAAATTTTAAATATATATTGCTCTATAAATTACAGATCTATCCAACTCTCATCTTTCTGAAGTACAGAAATTACACACACTCTAAATAATGTCTTGTACTTTTATAGAACAGACATTTTAAAGTCTCTAATCTATTGGTTAGAATGTCTCTCTTAGGTATCTGCAACTAGATTAAGAAGTAATGTGGGTACTTACTAAACAAGATTTGATCTACTAGGCATTCACAAAGACAAAACATCAAATGACAGAACATACATGCCTTCCAAATTCTAAACAGCACTGCAAACAATAGAGAATTCTTTAAACCAAATTAAAAAGGTGATCTATTACATTCTAAGATTTACCTGCTACCACATGAAGTAACTAGCAATCCAGTGTTTTACATACTCCCTGCCATTCACAAATGGAATTGCAAGCAAATTCTAAAGTTCAATCAAATATCATATCTCAAAGCAATCTATAATGCACATAAAAATACATTTTAAAATAAAATTAAAAAACACAATTTGATCAGAATAGGACAAAGACTACATCACATAAGAATAAATTAGCATGGCCTATAGCTGAGCAGCTAGGGCACCAGCCACATACACTGGAGCTGGCGATTAGAATCCAGCCCAGGCCTGCCAAACTGAGGCAAGAAAGTAAAAGCAGAACTAAAAGAATCTATCCTAGCCGCTCTGTGTAGGCCTCAGCCAAGCCACAGGCATTGCTGTCTGTGTGTTTCTCCCCTGACATATGTGGGGCCTAGATTGTAACCTAGTAACTTCCTTGGATTTCTGTTGCCTTTGGGGCAGGTGGTCCGACTGGTCTCAAGGAGGCGGGTGAATCTGACCTTCCCCCTTGAGCCCAGACCTTGAGGATGATGTCATATCTCTCTGTCTTATGACCCTCATGTGCACTCCCACCCTGAAAAAATGGATAAAAGAGAGGCGAGAGATTGAGTTGGGGGGGGAGCCTCGGTTTTGGGAAACACGCTGGTGTTCCAAGTACCCCCAGCCGAATAAATCCGCTTCCTCTAACCAACTGGTGCCTGGAGTCTTCTGTCTGCATCGGTTTCCTGCTACATTTCTTGGTTCCCTGACCAGGAAGCAAGGTTTGGTGGAAAAACCATGCAGCCAGATTCTTTGGGTCAGGTTCTGCCCGCGCCACAGATCTCTCTCTCTCACACACACACACACACACACACACACACACCCCGCGTGGGGAACTCCTGCTGGCCTGGCCATGCGGTCCTCAGAGTGCTCCTAGAACAAATTCTCCCAGAAGAATGTCTGGTTGAGACTCAACTGGCGAGGTCCCTGGGGTGGGTCATTGCGGAGGCTGAGCACCAGAGAGGAACCGGTAACAGGTGGCGCCAGGACATCCAGAGTAAGGTAGGATCCTTTTGAAGCCCACTACAATTTTAGTGGAGGAGGAGCCTGATCACCTCCTAGGGCGTTAGATCACCGGCAGGTACACAGGGAGACATCTAAGGCAAGGTAGAATCCATTTGGGGCCCACTACAATTTTAGTAGAAGAGGAGCCTGATCACCTCCTGGGCGTTAGATCGCCAGCAGATCTGTTGACAGAGGTGTGTGAGACCAGATCTGCTAGATAGCCAGCCGATCTGTGAAAGGTGTGTGAGAGTGTGTGGATGTGGTATGACTGAGAGAACTCCAAGGTTGGAGCTGGATCTCCCCTCATAGGGCCTAGGGGAGTGTTGTTTTGCCTCCTATGGCTAAGTGGCAGCTCGAGTGGGAAATTGAGGCTGCCCAGGTTAAGAAATGCATTGGAATTGTGTGCATGTGAGTGCTTGGAGAATGACTGAGAT